TTTTAGGTGACGAAATCTGCCAATGCCAACTTATAAGGGTTCATGATGGGAGACGCTGTGTCAGATCTAAGTTAGAGCTTAGTTTCTCTCAAGTCAGAGCTTAGATGATATTATGCCTCTGTTAATTCACCATACCTTCTGCTAAGGTCACTATCCTTCAATTATTAGATATCATTTGAGATGACTGAGTAAAGTGTCTTAAAAATCCCTACAACAGGGCTTCCCTGGTGGCGCAGTGGTTGAGAGTCCGCCTGCCGATGCAGGGGACACAGGCTCGTGCCCTGGTCCAGGAAGATCCCACATGCCGCGGAGCGGCTAGGCCCGTGAGCCACGGCCACTGAGCCTGCGTGTCTGGAGCCTGTGCTCCGCAACAGGAGAGGCCACAACAGTGAGAGGGCCGCGTACCGCAAACAACAACAACAACAAAACCCCTACAACCACTATCCTAATTCAGATACTATTAATCTCACTGTCCCCAACCCCATTTCATCTATCACACATTCTTTTGCTAGTATAAATTTCTTTCTAACACTGCTGAGAGTTCACTGTCTTCTGCATGAACTCAAGCCTGCTTATTCTGATATTGAAGGGTCTCTGGGAACAATCTACCCTTACAAAATACTTCCTATAAATCCTATACCCCAGGATGAAAGAACTATTTAAGAAATCAGAAAGAAATAAAACTTTGTTTGCAGATGACAAGATATTATATGCAGAAAATCCTAAAGACTCCACCAAAAAACTATTAGAACTAATCAACGGATTCAGTAAAGCTGCAGGATACAAAATCAACATATAGAAATCAGTTTCATTTCTATCCACTAGCAGAATATCTGAAAAAAATAAAATACCATTCACAAGATGAGCAAAATGATTAAAAAAAAACAACCTAGGAATAAATTTAACCAAGGTTGTGAAAGATCTGTACACTGAAAACTGTAAGACTTTGATGAAAGAAACTGAAGACATAAATAAATGAAAAAATACCCCGTGTTCATGGATCAGAAGAATTAATATTGTTAAAATGTCTATACTATCCAAAGCTATCTATAGAATCAGTGAAATCCCTATCAAAATTCTGAATGGCATTTTTCACAGAAATAGAAAAAACAATCCTAAAATTTGTATGGAACCACAAAAGATCACAAATAGCCAAAGCAGCCCTGAAAAAGAACAAAGCTGGAGGCATCACACTTCCTAAAACTACACTACAAAGCTATAATAATCAAACAGAACGGTACTGGAATAAAAACAGAAGCAAAGACCAATGGAACAGAATCAGAAATAAACCTTCACATATATAGTCAACTAATATTTGACAAGGGAGCCAAGAATACTCAACAGGAAAAGGATAGTCTCTTTAATAAATGGTATTGGGAAAACCAGATAATCACATGCAGTAGAATAAAATTAAACCCCTATCTTTCACCACTTACAAAAATTAACTTGCAATGGATTAAAGACTTTAACATAAAGCCTGAAATCATAAATCTCCCAGAACAAAACACAGGGGAAAAGCTCCCTGATACTGGTCTTGGCAACAATTTTTTGGATAAGACACAAAACCATAAGTGAAAAAAGCAAAAATAAATAAGTGGGACTACATCAAACTAAAAAGCTTCTGTACAGCAAGAGAAACAATCAACAAAATTAAAAGGCAACCCATGAAATGAGAGAAAATATTTGCAAGTCATACACACATGCGCACACACACACCACACACACTATTCAGCCATGAGAAAGAAAGAAATTCTGCCATTTGCAACAAAGAAGATATACCATGAAAGCATTATGCTAAGGAAAATAAGTCAGACAGAGACATGGAAAGACTGTATGATATCCCTTACATGTGAAATCTAAAAAAGCTGAACTCCAAAAAAACAGTGCATAGAATGGTGGTTGCCAGCGTCTTGGGGTGGGGAGAAACGGGGAGATGTTGGTCAAATGGTACAAACTTCCACTTCTAAGACGAACAGGTACTGGGGATCTAACGTACAACATGGCAGTTATACTTAACTATACAGCGTGCACGTACACACATACACACACACACACATACACACTCATATACTTGGAAGATGCTAAGAGTAGATCTTAAATGTTCTCACCACAAAAAAGAAATGGTAATTACATGAGGTAATGGAGGTGTTAACTAACACTACAGTGGTAATCATTTTGCAATATATAAGTACATCAAACCAACAGGTTGTACACCTTAAACTTATACAATGTTAAATGTCACTTGTATCTCAATGAAGCTGGAGAAAAAAAAGGAACTACTTAGAGATTTCCCTTTTCTACTTCTTTGTTCTACCTCTAATACCTTTAATACATTGCCCAACCCTATCAAACTCCCAAACGTGAACAGTACTTACCACATCCATCAAGCCACACCCTAAACCCCATTTTCTCAATAAAGTCTTACCTAATTTCCTACACTGGGAATAATTTTCTCTCTTGAACTCTCAGAACTATTTGTATTTTTCTTACAGCAGTCAACACTTCTCAGTCTTATATAGACATTATCTTCACGTATTAATCTCACATTAGCTCCTTGAGGGTGGATGTAAGTCTTATTTACTTTTCCCTCTCTTTTACTAGAAAATAACACTCTGAGTATATATACAATAAGAATACATATGCTCATTACTGAAAACTCAGAAAATACAGAAAAGTATATAGCAAAATGCCAGCTATAATTCCACCCTCCTGCAATAATCCATGGGTAGAATTAAAATATAAAACTATGTTAAAACGTATTATATATATGTATGTATACCAACTCATTTTAAAAGCACAGGTCATATTATACACTGAATCTTGTCTCTTTCTTTACTTAATGAGACCATTTGTATGACTTGGTTTATCTTATCTCCCACAGTGTTTCAAATACAAAGAAGCTTTATTGTATATTTTGCTTTGGAAATTCAACTCTAGTGAATCTACCCATTAATAAGACACTATTGTGTTTTGGGGAATAATAAAAATGTTCCTCAGTATTTATAATATTCTTTCATATGGTGATACAGTCCTAGTTTATTAATTTTCATTACTTTTAATATTTCCAATAATCCTTAGAAAACCACAAGAGAGAACTCCAGGTCTTGAATTTTAATAGTAAAAAAATCAAGTTCCCACTTTAATTCAATTCCAACTAACCATTAAAAAAAAAAAAAAAAACCCTAAAAACGTGCTTCAGTATTCCATATATTGCACACCCTGCTGTTCTACCCTAGGGTACTGCAGAGGGATTCTGTAAAGCTATTCTGTATCCTTTAAGCAATTCTGTACACATTCACTATAAAAACTGTGTCATCAGTAGACAGCCATTCCTAAATGATTACACTCAATGATGTTGTACATTGGCAAAGCTTTAAAGTAATTAAGATGCAGCCTCCTCTCGCCTATTCATGTGACAAACATGCGCCTTATGCTAAGCATCATACTGTGAATTATGTGGGATGAAGAAAACACAATCTCTACCTTTAAGGGGCAAAGAGAATTAATAATATTGATTACTACCATAATCCAGGAAACATGCAAGCTGCTTTACATACATTATGTGATTGAATCTTAAAGAAAGATACTATATTTCCTTTTAGAGATGAGGAAGCTTAGAAAGGTTTAGTAACTTATTTATTATCACACTAGCAAGTAGATGACAGAAGGAGAACCCACTCATGTCTTGCTTATTACACAAAGAGAGCCACATGATTTCCTGCTGTAGAACCTCTAATCACTATTATCTAATCACTATTATCTGAATACCTGAGCTTTATTTCTGCTCTGATCAGTGCCTTACTAATACTGATAACATGCATACAGAGTACAGAACTCAACAGGCAGACAGCTTCTCTCATTTTCAGATACATACACTGTGCACCTTCGATGAAAGAATTTATAACATTTTCTAGAAAATACAAATGAACTACTCGAGCTATAGAAGCACCTGTCCAAGACAGCATACTCCACACTTCCCTCCGACAGGAGGACAGATTGAGTTAAAGACAGATAGAAATATAAGAAAGTTCTGAATTAATTTCACAGTCCTTTTTCATACTAGACTTTTCTTCGAAAAATGTCAAGAGAAACTAATAATTTTCTGGGATGTGTGCCTCTATTTTCAAATCCATTATAAGCAGTCATCAACATAAAAACAAGGAGGCCAAACACCACCTTTATGTCTCGTCCACCATGGTCAATTTTGGGAAAAGACATGGAGTAACAGTAAAGTATATCTGAGAGAAAAATGATTACTGATGTATTCACAAGTTTATTTTACTCATATTAAAAGTAATATTTCTTAAGGCGATGGGTCCATCTTCTCTGAAATGATTTTTTTAGGAGATACAGAATTGTTTAATAGTGAAATTAATCACAATTTGGACAGACTTTATCGTTGCCCTTTGACTTATCAATTTCAGTAAGCAAAATTTCAATCAAGCCTAGATAAAATATACTAATCCTAAATAGCCCAGGTTTGTCACCTACCATTTCCCGTAAGCTGCTTACCATAGTGAAAAAAAAAGAAGAAATTTTAAATGCCAAACACCTGCAGACAGCACTTGTTTGGCTGATTAACTTATAGACAAGCATTACAAATAAATCTGAGCATGGTCTGCAGCAAATTAAATTCCACTGCTTTTAAGAACAAAGAATTCCTTGGCAAAGAGGATTAGCAACTTTACACACAGGAATGCCAGTTTAATTTAATTGTTCCACAATCCAAGATTTAATATGCAAATATCATTTTGATATATAACAGTGAATTTAACAAAGTGAAGAAACAAATTCAATATACAACCAGGCTGCCTTTTCTGAACTGTAATTATATACAATAAAGAAGCTGGCCGAGTCTCTCCCTCTCACCCCACATTATTGAGACTGAATTATATTAACATGAATCAGAACATGTGTAATTAAAGGTTAAAATTTGTAAACATATTCTAATTAAGAGTCTAAATAGCTGTACAATTAGAATACTGGAGTTAAAATCATACCTCAATGATCTTCTTGGCCTCTTTGTAATTTCCTGTTTGTAGGAAGGCAAAGAAGAGATCATACAGCATAGTCATTTCACCTTGTTCTTGGCTCACAAAGTCCATTGCTAGAGAGGAAAGAAGAAAATATATTAGAAGACAAAATATAGACTAACACTATATCACTTGAAGAGTTCTGAACAAATACAAGAAAACTTTAAAACAAATATTTAGAATAACTTAAAGGTTATAGCTAAATCAACCAATTTTCTGTCACATTCCTTATGTAACAGCGTACATTTATGACACTAAGTACCTGTGACTAGCTTCAAAGAGAACTGGTGAGGATAAGGCTGAAAATCTCACAAAGGCAGATCATCAAGAAGCGGACCAAAAAATAACAGAGGGGGGCTTCCCTGGTGGTGCAGTGGTTGAGAGTCCACCTGCCGGTGCAGGGGACATGGGTTCGTGCCCCGGTCCGGGAAGATCCCACATGCCACGGAGCGGCTGGGCCCATGGCTGAGCCATGGCCGCTGAGCCTGCGCGTCCGGAGCCTGTGCTCCGCAACGGGAGAGGCCGCAACAGTGAGAGGCCCGCGCACCACACACACACACACAAAAAACAAGAGGGGTGACTTTTCAAAATGAAGTTACTAAAATCAAGTACATTTATAATGTTAAAAATATACCTGATATTTTTCAACTCAGAAGTGTAATAAAGTTTCTCTGGATGTGCTTGCCTTCCTGTTAAATTCTCTCTTCACAGCAACACATTAAGATTAAATAAGCAAGAGGGGAAAAAAGAAAACTAACAACACTAACGAATTAGAAGGTGACTAACCTTTCTGAATCAGATCAGTTTCGCCTTTCTCTATCAGTTTACATAGGACATCATGAATCCTTGGTAGTATTTTATACTTTTTATAGCAGTCAATCGTGACTTCAAGAGCAGTAGGTAAGTCATCCCTTGGAAACATCAAAATATTAACAATGAATAAAATATATCTAATTAATTTGAGAGCTATACAATGACCAGTCAAAAGGTACACGAGTGAGTTTTATTTAAGGTAGAATACCACGAAGCCAAATTGGAAAAAAAAAATACAAGAAACAATCCTTATATAAAAATCAATGCTCAGAGTACAGACATCATTAGTGGTTCCCTGTTTTCCCTGCTTCAACTTTTATTATTTTGCTTGCTAAATGGTACTTATTAAAAAGTCCAAAAGATGAAGGCATTCTCTCAGATTATATATAAATTGCTATAAGAATGCATTATTCTAAAAACAAGGACTACTGTCAAATATTTTTTCCAACTACTTTGTGTTTATGGTCCTCAATAATTCCAGATTTGGGAAACTTTATTAAATGTCCATCAACAGTCATCAAGAACTTTTCAAGCACTTTCACCTTTCTCATCATATGTTTCATACTGCTGCCTCTCCAGATAAGGAGGAACTAACTTTTTTTTTTTTAATTTACTTTTGGGTGCGTTGGGTCTTTGTCGCTGCGCGTGGGCTTTCTCTAGTTGTGGTGAGCAGGGGCTACTCTTCGTTGCAGTGCGTGGGCTTCTCATTGCTGTGGCTTCTGTTGTTGCGGAGCACAGGCTCTAGGCACTCGGGCTTCAGTAGTTGTGGCGCACGGGCTTAGGTGCTCCGCAGTATGTGGGACCTTCCCGGACCAGGGCTCAAACCCATGTCCCCTGCATTAGCAGGAGGATTCCTAACCATGTGCCACAAGGAAATCCCAGGAAGAAGTAACTTTAGGATTCATACATATAGAAACTTACTGTTGCTAAACCTAGGATATTCTTAGGATTGGTGAATTCTAGAACTCTTTAAAAGCTTTTCATAAGAGGGTAAGCTTTTAAAAATTATTTCCAATTATAAAATCGAAGCTTCTCTTATGTGGTTAATTAATTAAAATAAAAAGATATTTTCATTAAGTCAGTTTATTAAATAAGAGTGTGGAAACACATTCTTGTGTGTCCTCAAAACCTACTATTTCCCTTGGAAAATGACAGTATGAGAAATTATTAAGACCGTGAAAAAGCTGTAGAGATTATGTGATCCAATTCTACTTGCCACCTTCCTTTATTTTTAAATAGATGAGGAAATTAAGGCATCTAGAGATTGACTGATTGGCCTAAGGCCACCAGGTAAACAGAGAAAGGCACTGTCATCAAGTCCCTGGACTCTCCCCCCTTTCAGTTGAGTACATCTAATTATACATTATGCTCTATTAAAAGCAATGTTGTTTGTTTAACCTAATAAGGTGGTGTAATATGGAATAAGAAATTAAAGATTTTTGAAAAGAAAGTATGAAATGTATTAAAAAAAGCATGGTTAGAGACATGGACCAAAGTACAAGTAGCGATAACAGTGACAATCTTTGTGGAGAAAACACATTTCTCTCACATGTGCAACAGTTTTCAAAAGGAAGAAAGCCTTTTAAAATTTTCCATTGAAGCCCTAACATTTTGGTTCATTATACAAATGTTATGTTGCCCTAGATTGAATTACCATTTTATCTAGATTAAGGTTTTAAACTGTACTAAAAAGTAAAGTATCATGAAGAAGCATTAATTTTACTACAATACTGACACAGTGAAAATGAGCCTATCCTGACGGAACTCTACCTTATCCCCTTACTAAGCCCTGTTTACAGTGCATCTTCCGGCACCCCACAGAGTCATTTGAATTTTTGTCATTTGGGGTGAAGACTAAATTACAGGTTAATTTCAAAACTGCAAGTAGATGTTGCAGGCTAGATTACTGTCATACAAGAGAAATGCTACCACATATGATATAAAGCTTTATATAATCAGTATTTTCCCTTGCTTCAGATACAAGTTATTACCTTTTTACAACTCCATTTAATGGAAAACTACCAAAATATTTAAGAGAAAAACTAACACACACTGATTTTTAAAAAGCAGTATAATTTGCTTTTTCAGATCAATTTCCAAACTAGGATAATATTGTCTCAATTGTATTTTCCCTACACTAGGTCAAAGCTATCAATAAATGAGTGAATAATTGTTCTGTCAATCAAAGAGACATGTTAATAGTCTTTGGTCTCCAAATATATGCTTCTGAAGATTATACATGCTCGGAACAACAACAGAAAAGACAAGTATAGCAAAATGGAAATAATTCATATATATTTGTTAGTAATTTTAAGTAACAATGTCACTGACTCCAGGTTGCCAACAAAATGAGTTAGAAATCTATAGTGAAACATTTTGTACAAAGTGTGCTTACTGATGATAGAAATGAACTAAGGTCTAGTCGTTTCTTTTCAGTCCTTATTATCTACATTCTGACTTGTGTTTGGTTGGATCACGTCACTTTAAAGAGATAAAAATGTCCACTCCTCGTATGATTTGATGTCATCATTAATCTTTCCTATTAAAGCTTGAAAACTTTGGGTGAGGGAAATGAAAAATATGAGAAAGTATATAAAATTCACATTACTGTGAAAATAGTTGTATACGCATAGGACTTTTGAATTTCAATCCCAATTGATAAGTACTACATGCAGCTTGGCTACAGCAGTGTGACACATTTCTAGAAGTGGTGATGAAAGCAGATTATCACAACAGTTGAACTCAAGGACCTTTGGGTTCCCTCCCAGTTCTAATACTCTAACGCAAGGTTCTATGAACTTGAGCTTGTTAGGTTCATCATCTCAAATGTTTCACACCAGCAGAAAAAATCATCACATGAAAATACCACTTTTATTAGGCTGGATGAAATCAGTAAGTGCAGTAAAATATCAAATGGGAAAAGGTGGAAACTGCCTTATACCCAAAATGTGGGGGAAGACTTTATCAATCAGTGTATTTCTAGTTTCTGTGACCTAAAATGATTCTGTGATTTCCTTTGTACACTTTAAAACACTAGAACTGATTTAAAACTCTACTCTAAAATAATAATCTTTTGAAGAAATCTTGTTGAAAACATTAATTCTGGATTCAAAACTTACTCCATGCTTATTTCAGTATACACGCATAATTCCTAAAGCTTTATATACAAACGGGTCACAAATTTTTAAAAGTCCAATCCTGATAAAAATTTAGCCACTGCTTTCACAAACCTCAAATAATACTAAGTGAAAATCAACTCTATTAACATACTATTATCTCTAAGAAAAATCCACTGTGATATTTTCAACGACTAGACACCCTCCCAAAGTATTTCAATGATATACATAAAGTGATTTTCATAAATAAAACTATACATGCTAATAAAAAGTAATCAATCATTTTAAAATATTTTTGATTGATGTAAATTAACTCAACATAGCCTTTATCAAAATTCTGGGAGCCTATGAAATAAAAACAGAACAGTGGAAAGGAAGATTCTATAATTCTAAATTTTAAGAACACACATATATATAATAGACTGAGTCCAATAAGAACATGGCAAATCTGATGTTACCTCTTGTGTTAGTCCTTATTATGAAATGAAAGTATGCTTTATGTCATTGACAGAAAAACAAACCCTGGACATAACATTTATATGAGACTGATCATAAAACTATCTACTTAAAGGTACCAGAAAACAAAGTCCTCCTAACTCAAATTCCTTTATATATAACTGTAAAAATCACAAATGTGTTTCATACAATCTTGAACAAGAACAACCAGTGACAACTATCTACCTACTGGTAGTTTTAAACTTAGTCTCCTTACCTATAGCAAATAACTTCCAATTTAATCAAAATTTTAAATGACAAATATTAATTTTTTAATTGGAATAAAGTGCTTCAACATTATGCATAAAGTGTTAGTGAAGTGGCGATTTACCTAAAGAGCTTACTGACTGAAAAACTCTCAAAATCTGAAATCACTGGAGAAAAGAGGGGCTTTAGGGGAGAAAAAAGTTCAAAACAAGGGAGGGGGAAACAAAAAACACCTTAACACTCTAAAAACTGACTATTCTATAAATCTTAAGCAGATGTTCAGTGTGGAAAGAAATCAATTCAGGAGAAACCATCGACTTCACAAAAATTATTCTGTGAAGAGAACCAGCCCTTGAAAGAGCTAAATGTTTCTTTTTCTGTTCATCATCTATAAATGCGGAATCTTCAAGGAGACTAGTGTTGCAATTACAACTAATCCTCCCAAAAAAATTAACTGTGTTGAAGGCTTTGTAATTTCCCTAGGTACAATTTAGCTGTCACTTACTTTCAAATTTACTCAAACATGCTTTCGGAACAGCACTAACTTCACATGTCAAGTGCTTTCCAGCCAATTGAGTCTAAACTGGAAGTCGGTGTTAAACAACTGAATGATTAGACAAGATAGCTCATTTCCCTGCTCTTTTGTTCAGAATAAAATGCCACATTTACATTATCAGGCTCAACAGGATTTTCTGACAGAGGGAGAAAAAACCCTACTGAACACTGTCCGTACTAAGCACATGAAGCCTGTCATTTACCAATCATCCTTCAAAAAGCAATAGCCATGAATGTAACTTAATTACGACCCAATGATCCTTGACGAAAAATCATCTTATCACTGTCCTGTCCCCCTAGGGCAAATGAACCACTTTTGTCCTTTGGCACTGATGATGCTAAATTCTTAATTGCAATAATGGAGTAAAAGAGCCAAACCTCCTTAATTTCCTTTCAGCACATAAAGAGTTTTACTCTAGAAGGCGAGCATTCCCACAAATAATAAAAGTATCCAGTACAAATGAAGATGCCAAAATTAAAGGGGAGTATATATGACAGAATAACCAGCATTAGAAAAAGTGTATTTCCCACTTCTGCAACATATTGAAGTGTTACAGTAAGTTTTAAAACGTATTGGTATAGGTTCATCTTACAGAAATTGTGACCTTTATGAAGAACTCAAGATTAATTTAGCAAGAGTTCTGGGAGGATTATATGGACAAAGTCCATGATTCACTTAAATGAAATGCATGTGGGTATATACAGATTATAGCACAAATCAGCACAGAAAAATCCTAAATGGAAAGCAGAAATTAAAGATTCTTTGATCATTTGCACTAAATAATCCAGTTAAACAGCTTCAGATATTTTTCATATGAAATGAAACCAAAATGGATCAGCTATACAAGTGAATCTGAAACTGCATCATACAAATTTTTATGCTTTAAAAACTAAGGGCTTCCCTGGTGGCGCAGTGGTTGAGCGTCCGCTTGCCGATGCAGGGGACACGGGTTCATGCCCCAGTCTGGGAAGATCCCACATGCCGTGGAGCGGCTAGGCCCGTGAGCCATGGCCGCTGAGCCTGTGCATCCGGAGCTGCTGCTCCGCAACGGGAGAGGCCACAACAGTGAGATGCCCGCGTAACGCAAAAAAAAAAAAAAAAACTAATGGCCCAAATTTCATTAATTTTATTTCCTTTATCATAGCATAAAGACTAATCAAAAGCTCTTTTAACCTATTTTAAAGCATTTCTTTCTTCCCTAATATGGAGGATCCAGGTCATCTTTCTGGATCAGGCATGATTTCAATTAAAAAAAATTTTTTTAAGTAGTTACAAAGGAAAATGTTTAACATTCATGTGGACTACATGTAGACATGTGACTTACAGAACAGTCCCAGTGTAAATGAAACACATGAAAATTTTGTTCAAATCAGCATACTTCTTTTCAGTGCAAGTATTATTTTGATAATACAAATCAGATTAGTTTAACAAGTTCTTCAAAATTTTGCAAACCTGTTATTTTGGATTTCCTTTGGCAAATGAATAAAAACAAAATGTATTATTTTTCATAACTGTAAAACTTTTAAAACAATATCCAAGTAACAAACTGATACAATATTAAATTTCTCCTGTGTTTTATCCAATGCTGGAAAAGTCAGTCCAAAATTAATATCTATTGAATCTTAAAGATCATCTTTCTAAGGAACTCAACCTCGCAAATTTGTTCTAGAATTACAATTTGTAAGTGACAGCCTTCTTCAGAGTCTTTGCAATGACTTTCCAAAAAGATGCTTGCCTTTGAAAGGATGAAGATTTTGTAAAGTGTTCTGAAATGTTTCTCATAATTCTACCTCAAGTTTGAATAAAAGCCTCATTCTCCAGATGAGTTCATACCTGCTGAGGCCAATTACCTGATATTATTGAAGATTAAACATATTTAATCAAATCAAATACATGTAGACTTTTGGGCAGGCTAGCATAGTTAATCCTAGTACTGCACTTGTCATGATTCTGAATTAATTAGCTATCTTCCATCAGTTGGGAAAACACAATTGAAAATAAGTTGCAAAGTCAATGTTTTCCTCCAACTTAGCCCCCACCAGGAGTGCTACTACTGTTTTCTGCTAAATATGAAATTTCCTTTATCTCCTTTTAATTATTCTCCTGACTCTAAAAGAGTCAACAAAACCTTTTTATCATGACAGATGAAACTGAAGATCTTGTCATGGAAACTGCCTCTGCAAAGCAAAGATAGCAAAAAACAAAAACAAATTCAGGCAAATAAAAATAGAAGGTAATTTCTCTTTGTATCTGAAAGTAGAAAAAAAAAATCATAAAAGAAACTAATTTAGATTTCTCGAGCCCAATTAACAGGGACAGTCAGATTTTACTGAGACACACAAATCTCTGACTGTACAGTAAAATCTGAAGCACAGAGTATGCTCCACATTAACATCTGAATCCCATGCTATTTCCATTTTCCCTTGGGGGAAGTTCTCCTTGGTTCATGAGCCCCATCTGCAGACCTCTTCTGGAAAACTTTTGTATCTCCTCTGTCTTCAAAGTATTTCTATTTGTAAGATACTTTTTCTACCATGGCCTCATTTTCATTGTTAATTATTTTATTTTTGCCCAGTGGTGGAGGAGGGCCTAATTCTTCTGGGCACTGGGCCCATTTCTTTCAAATCCCTATGCAGAGCTCCACATGCAATTTGCAGAGACGGGTCTTTTAAACAATCAAAAAAATTCTAGGAGGAAGCATATTAATTATAGGATTTCTATATAAAGTAGGCTGCGAACATGAGAACTCAATAACACAATAATTGTTTGAATCACTATTTCTTTAAAAAGATGTAATGCTGAGATTGTGGAGGTTAAGATTTAGCCAAATCATATTAAGCTGATAAACTATTTTTTGATTGATGGCAAAGAAATTATTTCATAAAACATTTATGTGCATGTATGTGTGTGCATATATATATGTGTGTGTACACATATTTCCTAAAAAGAGTTAGTTAAAAGAGATGTTTTTATTCCACATTTTAAATTCAATACTAAATCATTCATTATATTCAATTAATTATACCCCCTAATAAATAAAGAAAAACTACCAGAAATGTGGGAAGAATATGAGAACCGTTAAGATTTATCTTTTACTTTTCTCCTGACACTGATACGGCAACATCCAAACTAAAATTAGAAAATCACAATCACAAAATAAGCAGATTAAAAATTGCATTAAGCCATGGAAGAGATGACAAAGAGGTAAGATCTGAGAAATTTTTTAAAATGGAAAAGAAAAACAAACACAAAAGGAAAAGAATAAAGGACACTTTATCATCTTACTAAAATGTTTCACTCATTACAAGAGAGTAGGTTGACTTTATGATTTGCACTGGAAAAAATACCTTAAATTGGGCACCAACATAAACATTCCAAATGTAAAAATTTTCAAATTCAGTAAATCTCACCCTATTAACAAAATTCATCTTCTTCCCACAAGACACAGAGACATCTTCTACAATATTTATCGAAGCCAGAATAACTACTGTATTGGTACATGCAATTAAAATACTACATGGAGGAAAGGAGCAATGAAGAGACGCTGCCACATCATTACCTGAATAACAGTCATGAAGCATAATCAAAAGCCCCAGAGAATCCTTCTTTCTTATATTTATTAATAATTAACACTTATAAGGCTCAAAACTGGGAAAAACTAGATTTGGCTTCATGTACTATCATCACATGCCCCATACAAAAAAAATCACCATAGATCATTCCATTGAGAAGTAATCCACAGGACCACAGGGCGGCTGGTGATTTTATAGGTCACCTACTCCACAGAAGTCCTCTTATTCTGTGGTGAATAACCTCCAAGGCTTCCACAGCACTACAGAGAATTTACAAAGTATAATCCCCAAATGATTAGATTCATTCTTTCAATGCCAACATTTAAAATTGAAAATTCAATTAACTTACTTTTCCAGATATAGGGTGACCAATGGGGAACTTAAGGTAGTAGATGGTTTCGCTAACCCTAGAGTCACGATGGCTTCATGCAACTGTTTCACTGTTTCAGTTTCACCTCTTAAAGCTGCGCCATTTAGGATGTGGAAAAAGGACAAGACTGTTGCATCTTTGATAAGAACATCCTTCTCTTTCATCTCCTTTAGAATGTTAATAGCATCTACAATGAAGTAGCACAAAAGACCCTTAGGTAATTTCATGTAGGGAAAACAAACTGCTATTAAAACAGCATTTCAAGCCCAGCAGGAATGTAAATTCTAGTGTATAATGCCGATTTCAAGTTAATTACTACTTGCATTTCTAAACGAGACTACAATTATAAATCCACAATAGCATGGTTTTATCATTTCCCTGCAACTTTGACTACAAATTATAGATAGGGACTGTGTGCCCACTCTGCACCACATAACCCTGTACTGTCTGCCCTATAGCTGTAAGATCCTCCTAAATGGATGCTTTTATCGTTCAGAGCTAACATCTGCTAAATCACACCATTGTTTCTTCAGCAGATGGCTTGTCAGGAGGCCAGATAATAAAGATGTGTTTACACTGTATATACAGCCAGACTAATGGTCTGATACCGATAGGGCCTGTTTGCTATGTCGATACTAATTAGCCAAGCAGAGCCAATGAAAGCTTTCCAAAAGACTGCATGTTAATACATTAGATTCATTAAGCTTCATTAGGAAGGCAGAAACAAACATTTTAGGATATGGAATAAGTTCATTTTTATAATGTTGTTCTTAATTATTGCACAGAAAAAATGGTTTGACCGCTTTACAGAAAATTATTTTTAAAAAGCAGTCTAATCTTCATAAAGAATTTTGTGTTAGAAAGGCTTCCTAGGAAAAAATTCAATGTTCAAATCAAATATTTTCTCCACATTTTTGACTACAGAGATTTTTTAAAAAATCTTCTCTAGGAATAAAAGAGAGGGAGGTTAAAAAAAGAGTTTCAAAATAAAGCCCAATGAGAAAGAAACAAGCAAACAGTAATAAAAAATTATCAAGTGTAATTACATTACGTTTAGCATTATCTCAACTACGAGAAAATTAGAGTATATACATCAACAATATAATCGGCTAGGCTCTCCCCGCAAACTTCTATGTAAAACCTTATTAAAGTACACATTTTGTTAATGTTATTAAAAGTGAAGACAAAGACTCCTGCAAAATTCATATTCTTGAATAAAGGTTTTATTTATAGGTTTTATGTTCAGCCTTCTAATGTTCTTAAGCGAAAACAAAGCCATTAGTGCAGGCATATAGGCAAATTGTGCCATAAGTCATGATCTTCAAACTCAATCCAAACAGCAATGCTAATAAAAACTAGCTGCAGAAATGCAAAAAGCACTGAGCTGTGCAAATGTAAATGACAAGCTTGCCAATCCATTAAAACTAATGGCCTACACTGTCCATGCAGCTCTGGCTGGATTCACATGCAAATTTTGCAAAGTGTTCAAGCACTTTGCAAGACATGATATACCATTAATATCAATTCACATGTTATTCCAGTGGCAAGATACTTGCATCACATGTTTCCTTTATGTGCTGATGCTTACCTTGGAGCTTGCCATGTTTTCCCAATACTTTTACAAGTCTTACATACTTGCTGGTATCAAGGACAGCAGAAGAATCTAAACGGTCACTAAAAATTAAAGCCATATTTATATTATGTTAGAAGTTGTTTAACTGTTAAAAGGACTGCAATATCTACTTGATCACTTTTCAAAAACTCATCAGAATCTGAACTGTTATTAACATTGGCCTCTACAATTTAGTTAAGGTTTATTTTTGAAGCCATATACAAATCCACATGTAATTATATTCAAAGTGACGAAGTAAAAATCTAACACTACATATATATTGCATCTTTCCATCTGCAAATGACACTAATAAGGAACTCTTTTGCTTCATGGCACTTAAGGTGATTCTAACTTTGTCATGAATACTGAAATACCCCTGAAAGACATATTTTTATTTGGCAAATGTATCAGGATGGGAAACCAAAGATACCTTAGAAATGGACAGAATTTTGTTTACCCTACAGTACAGAAAGTGGAATATTTAACAAGCTTTATAAAATAGTTACCATCACCACTGTTGTCATATGCAGTTGTATAATCAAGAGGAAAAAAACTTTGGCTTTAAGGAATAGAACGTCTTATCATACTTAAACAAAGACTCCTTGCTGAAAACAAGCCATAATTAATCAAAGAGTCTTATAGTATGAAATTTCAAAAACACAAAAGAGAATTTTTTAAATTCACATTGTATGAGAGTAGTAGTCAATCTACATGATCCATCAAGGACTGTATATCAGCATACATGCTGATGATTTGCTTCAGTGCCAGGGTACTCACAATTCTCGTTTCAGGTTCAATGCCTCTTCTGCATTATCATGTCGACAGCACAAATTTATTAAAGAGGCATAGCCACCGATAACCATATCTGATTCATATTTTGCTTTCAATTCAAGAGCTTTATGCATGTTCTAAAATAAAGGATGGAAGTGAAAAAGAAATAAGAAATTAATATAAAAATAAAATAAAATTTCTAGTTTCAATGTTCAGAGTGTAAAAAAAGTTAATAGTACTTTTAAAATAAATGGATTCATGTTATTAACTTCACCTTGCTCCCTGAAAAGAAATGGATTCATGGTATTAACTTCACCTTGCTCCCTGGTATTTTTATTTGCCTTTTAAAAAGCAGGAAAAGATATATATATATGTGCGGTTTAAAAGATTTGTTATCTACACTGCAAAACAGGCCACTATGCCAAATTTGATGTTTTAAGGTTTGGGTACTGTATTATAAAAAAAAGATTTCCAGATTAAATATGTACCAAGTGAGCCCTTACTCACCGTCCAATTTCCAGGCACAGAAATGTCTATCACTGCAACGTTCCTCACAGTCTAGTCAATATCCGAGTAATGTAAGGAAATATTTTAGAATTTAATAGTACCATGTTATAACCTTAAAGTCAGCTGTTATTTCTGTTCCCCTAGAAACACAGGCATAAGACCAAATGATACTGAACTAAAAACCGAAAAAGTCTAGTGATATACCACAAATTGCAGACGCACACTAAAATGAACACAAAGTACAGCTGGACGCCTGCTGAAAAAAGGCAAGAGACCCTTTATCTCAGAAAGACTTTTTTCCAGCAGGAAAATGGAATTTCAATCCCTGCATTAACAACCCAGTAATATTTGACTTGCAAATGACGACTGCATGTATCAGTTGCTTGACAATCTAGATATAAGAGACCGGAGCCATGGCTTGAAAGGACATTTGGCATGTATGATAAACCTATCATGGCTGTTACTATCATTCACTTTGCAGGTTATTGTAAACAAACTACAGTAACCGGAAAACATGCCATTCAAGGTGTAGCTGAAATTAGCTAACCTTTCATTTAATTGCATTCTTCACAGACATGATGTATAATAATTAATTGTAAAAATCATAAATATTATATTTGGCTTTGCTTACTTTTATCTATAAAGAATTTCTTTTTACCTTAATAGCGTATTTGAAATAGTTATAAGTTACCTCTTCTGAACACAGCATTAATATGAGTTGCTTCAGGACATCTCCTATAGGTTGATTTTCAGCTTTTAGTTTTTCAAGTTTAGACTCCAAATCAGATGATGTAGGCTGCGTAGTCTACAGAAATGGAAAGAAAAAAGAAGGAAAGAAATTTCCTACAAAGAAAATGCACCCTTTGTCACTCTTCCCTTTAAACTGACCTTTCCTAAATGTCATAAATGCTATCATGGATATTAATCTGGGGATCTGGGGATGGACTCCAGGGGTTTATAAAGCTCCTGAGATTATATGCAAATTTCTCAGATATGCCGATTTTTTTGAGATATGCTGATTTTTCTGAAATAGCTTTTACCAACTTCTTAGAGGTACACTGATGACGAAAATGTTAGGAACCACTGGTTTTATAAGGACACAGTCTAGAACTCTCATTAAATGTGGTTACTATAGCATGTAGAATCTACTCAAAAAGCCTACTTACTTTTCGAGAGTCTGTCTTCTCTCTTTCAACCAACATATTAACATCCTAAAATTGGGATTTAAATTAGAATCAGAAAACGTGTAAAATATATTAGCAAATGTCAAAAGCAAATTTTGGAAATTTCATTTCATTTCACTGTTATTTTTCCATCTTCCAAAATTTTGCAGAAATTCTGTTCATGCTTTATAACCACTGTAATAAATACTTCAAACACGTTCTTCAATATATAAACAGCATTTACCAACAATCAATGAAAAGCCTTGTTTTAAAGGTTGTCATTTAAATAAACTTTTGGCCAAAAGCAACATATTTAAATAAAATTTTAACATGCTTTTATATATAAATTAAGCATTTTAAAAAGTTGATTACTGTTTCACACACACCTTAATCAATTCAGGAACATGGTAGCTATCCAGCAGATTACGAATGCCTCTGTAGATATTTTCAGGAATTTTTACATTCTGTGCAAAGGGAAGGGAGGAGAAAAAACAACTGAGTTTTAGACAACCAAACTGAGATTTGTCGAACAGAAATTATCTCAGACATAATTTAAGTCTCCAACTCGTCTATGTCATTGAGAAGTGGTCTGGTTGTACTTAAAAGCAGCAATTTCAAATCTAATAGATACATGTCAGGCAGGACAGGCATTATATAGCAAAAAATGAAATGGTACCATCTCCATCAGCTGATGGAAGTATTGTCTCAAATGCTCCTCCTTGGCCTGTACCTCTGAGTCACTCATGCTGTCAATCAAGTTATAAAGAAAATAGCCAACAGCTTCTGTGGAAAAAAAACAAGAGAAAGCATTCCACTAAAATTACTGAGACTGTCATGTTACCAAGATTAATTTATAAGAAATCATTTTGGTGTGAGATGTCACCCTGATGAGAGGCTCTGAAATGGCAACAATGATCACTGAGGCATAGAGATTATGTGGTTTGGGAGCACATATCTAACTGGTGAGTGAAAGGAATATTAATTATTTTCAGACCGAGTGACAGCTTTTCAGTACTGAATCTTACTTCAATCTATTTTTTTCCACCACTCTGTGACAGAAGTTGTCCTGCCCAAGGCCTTACCCCTTTCCTGTCCAAATCACAAATAGTGAGAATAAATAAATGCCTTGTACACATTTCTATACTAATTTTTTGGTGGGCAATACTTAGTAGGGAAACATAAAATTAGAGAGGACTGTTAAATGTTGAGTATAGAAAGTTAAATAATTTTAATAAGCAGATACAGTAATCCTGTGGAGAGCTGCCTATTAGCCAATGAAAAACCGAGATTAACAAAGATGCTTTGTAACAACAGTAATTTTCCTATGCATTCAAGCATAAAATGTATAGGGCCATGTGTTAATACCTAGGATAGAAAAATACGAACTTTCAAGAAGGGTACCCTCTTACAGAAACCCATATATTCTAGGCTTTATTATGTGAAAACAAAAATCATTAAATGTCAAATAATATATTTTAGGTAATAAATTATATTTAAGTGGAAAAATCTACAAGACCGCTTTACTATTTTATATGTTTGATTATACTGGCAAAACATTAAAATCACATAAACACTAAAGATTACTAATTTTTAAGCCTATTTTGATTGATTCTATAAGAAGCATTTCCTCAATATCTAAAAAAAAAAGCCCTCCCAACCCTCCCTTTAAAAAAACAATTATGATAAAACCAAACACCTCACAGATCTCAAAATGTTGTGGTTATCAATATAAAGATTTATAACCAAATGTTTTCAAATTTCACTTTCAAAAAGAAAATGTTTACTGCTGTAATCCTTCTAGTCCATCATTACACAGAAGAATGGATTTGTGGATAAGTTACAATCATCGAAATTGAAACGCTACCCGTTGGTCCTGGAGGCTCCTGGCAATAACGTCCATCCTTGTACAACAGTTCTGTTATCTGGTAAGACAGGAAATGCGTGCATTGCAGCAAGAGAAGCAAACAAGAACAAATACAATCTGAAATTGAATTCTTGAAATAATAAAGCCTCTCCCCAGTAAGGTGTTATTCTGTATCATAGTAATTCAACACCATCCCCACCTGCCAAGGAGATTGTTTCGTTTTTAAATAATAGGCTTGTCTTTTAAAAACAAAAACAAAACAAATCCATGTTGAAGGAAAACTGCAATGTTTCATGAAATGTCACTAAGAAAGCCTCTAAACTGATCTTTTATATACTGTTTTAAATAAACTGTTATAACAGGAATTATCTTATAGAAATTATCAACCAATGTTATTTGTCATTGTATTGTTTTTGGTCTTGTTGAAATTGGTCCAGTTTCCTCCTTTTAAGTGTAGTTTTACAGAAATAAGAAAGTAAAATTCCCTGAACCACTAAATAACTTTTTTTTTAAGTTTTTCAACATTTTCCCAGTCATTTTAATGGCATTAAAACAAAAGGGGGTTGAAAGTTCTAACATGTTTGTTCTCATTGATTCTTATCAACCGAATACACAAAAACTAAAGACTTACTCATCAACATTAATTCTGCCCACAAAATTTCAATTTAAAAAATTCAAATATATATTTTATGATGAAAACGATTACAAAACCTACATACAGTACTGACATCTAACTTTTGATCACAGTACTTGACTATATATCCACGGGCAGAAGATAATAAGAAAGGAACATAGTTTTCTGAAGTGATATGAGTTAGGAATTCTGAATTACCTCATGTGTATACTACGATTGAACTTATTTGTTCTTTAAATAGTGCCCAGCACATACCATAAGTATTAACAACTCAAACTACAGCAGCTTCTTCAACTATTTATTTTCTAATATGGAAAATAAGGCAAAACTGACCATACCCCACTTCACTCCACCATAAAATCATGCTACTGTTAATAGCAATTCAAAGGTTAAGGTAGAAACTGTTCAAAAGCAAAGCAAAACAAAACAATCCTTACCTACAAACTGTTTTTTAACCAACACAGACATGCGTAGAAGCTGTAGCCATACATCAGACATGACAGCCAAATTTAACACCACATTTTGAACAAAGACACATTTAATAAACCAATGAAAAATCTTTCTAGTCAAAAAATTAGTTCTAAATATAAATATCTCAACCATATATTATAACTGACTATATAGTTTGAATGGCAGTTTAATACTAAAAACAGAACTGAATGAAAATAAGATTTTAAAAATTATTTAAATTGGGAATTCCAATCAATAATGTGCATTCTGATTTTATTAAGCTACAAATATTCTTGTAATTCAGCATAAGGATCATTGTACTTCCTGCATAAAAGCAGTTAACTTCTTAAAAAGATAACAGTTTAAAATTTATTTGTATATCATTCATATATAGATATACATGTAGATACACAAACATATACACACATGCATATATTTTTAAAAATAATTATTAAATCTGTATGGTTACTGCAATAACGTTAACAGTTGTTTTTTGGAAAAGTTGAAAACCTTATGAAGAATTTAGGACAAAGTAAAGGATCACTTCAATAATAAATTTCATGCTCCAGGAAAGCAGTTTTAAAACTAAAATGACCAACTTGAAGATTCTAAATTCACTTAATTTATAATGATACATGACAAATATATGAAGCTATTATAACTTTTGCTTTTTATATACCATGTTATGATTTGCAATATTACGAATACTTACCTTGCTCCAAAGATTTATATTCATAGACCTGCAGGGGGCAGCAAAGGATTAAAAATAAACCCAAAAGTTTAAGAAACATTTTTAAGTTAAAAGACACTAGCAATTATTATATGCAATGCATACAGATCAAAGTCCTAAAAAATGTAAGTAAATAAGTGTTTCCAAATTCAAGGTGAATTTTCAAGCCAAGGTAATTTAGAAAGATTGACTCTCATTTACTTCGAACCCTCAAAATAAGATTTACTGATTCTTGCTCTTGCTCTGATTCAAGAACAAGAATCAGTAAATCTTGGGGTCCCAGTTTGATGGAGCAGGATATTTGCATGGTCTCAAAGTGTCTACCCAAGACTGCTTATGACTTGTAATGGTAAAGACAGTAACCACATAATGGAGAAATCGAACCAATATCTTCACTGAGTGATCAAAATTAATACCACTAATGAAATGCTGATGGACACATTTTATTTTTAATTTTGTTTTTTTTTTTGCGGTACGTGGGCCTCTCACTGTTGTGGCCTCTCCCGTTGCGGAGCACACGCTCCGGACGCGCAGGCTCAGCGGCCATGGCTCACTGGCCCAGCCGCTCCGCAGCATGTGGGATCTTCCCGGACCGGGGCACGAACCCGTGTCCCCTGCATCGGCAGGCAGACTCTCAACCACTGCACCACCAGGGAAGCCCTGATGGACACATTTTAGATTTAATTCCCTGAGAAGGACAGAACATCACTCCTGCGGTATTCCAATCAGGGATGTAACATGAAACTAATCATGGGGAACCATGAGGAACATTCTAGAAAATAACCAGCCTGTATTCTCCAAAACTACTAATGTCATAAACGACAAAGCCTGAAGAACTGTTCCAGATCAGAGAAAATTAAAGAGAAAAGACAACTAACATCCATCCCTGAACTGGATTCTGTTCTGTTCTGGAGGAAAAAAAAAAGAAGAGCGAGAAAGAGAAAATAATTGATAAAACTGGTATATGAGCTATATTAGATAAAAATATTCCATCAACGTTAAATTTCCTGAATTTGTCAACTGTGATGGAGTTGTGTTAAGGGAACATCCTTGTTCTGTAGAATTATATACTGACATATTTAAGGATAAAGGGTCATGACATATGCAACCTAAGCCCAAATAGTTCCAAAAAATTAAAATTTATATATACATGCATGTATAAATAGATGGAAAGAATGTATAATGATAATGGCAAAAATGCTAAAAGTTAAATAAATGGGATATATAAAGGTTCTCTGTACTACTCTTGTAATTTTCTATAAATGTGAAATTATTTCAGGAAAGCAAAAAGAACGGCTCACCCAAATTCTGACTGTTTAAATGAAAAATCATTTACAAAACTGGGTAACCAATGAACCCTAGTCTTATACTATTTAAGCTTTGTAAACTTAATGTCTATAAGCTTTGTATATTTAAGTCAAACACAGAATCTACTTTAAAGAGACTAGTTACATTTTAATGATAATTTTACAATGCGAATATGATTTATATATTTATTATAATTATCTATATTATACTTAACATTGTAAAATACCCACAAAACTTACAGGTCTTTTTAAAAATTCATAGCCCTCTTTAAACTTGAGGTTGGGTAGTTTAGGGTGGACTGTTTTGGTATAGTGAGTTAATAAGGCACTTATTTCAACTTTAAAAACATTCAGAATGAACTACTGACACACATGACTACTTGGATGGATTTCAGGGACATTACGCTGAGTGAAAAAAGGCCAATCTCAAAATATGATATACTCTATGAGTCCAGTTATATAATCTTTGCAAACTAAAATTATAAAAATTGAGAACAAATTAGTGGCTGCCATAGGTTAGGGATGGTGGATGGGAGATAAAGAGGTACTGGGGGCAGGGGGTAATTTGTAGTGATGGCATAGTTCTGTATCTTCACTGCAGTAATGGTTACACAAATCCATACGTGTGATAAAATGAGATGTAACCACTGGGGGAAAATGGATGGAGAGTATACAGGCCCTTTGTGTCCTATCTTTGCAACTTCCATGACTCCATAAGTACTTCAAAACAAAAAATAAAAACATGTTCCATGCCCCTCTAGAATCCTCTGCCTTATGATAAAAACCATCCCTCCTACTAAAGCACATTAAGAAAAAGTTTTGAAAAAGATGAAATCTTATTAGTAAGTGGGGGAAAAAAATGTTTACGAAGCCCTGCATTTAATAGTGTTTCTTCCACTTTTGGAAAAAACTCTTTGAGTAATCAGTTAGCAGAAGACATGATAAACTGACCTAAAAATTATATCTCTAGGCTGAACTGGAAGACAATCTCTCAACTGTTACAAGAAAGTTTTTCATCTCATCCATCCACTGATTACAGAGCAGCCTCCTCTGACTACCTGACACTTCCATATATTAAAAAAAAATTTTTTTTTTTTGGGGCCAAATAGTAAGTAAAAGAAGAGTGAGCACTCAAAATATGAAGATATGGACTTCCCTGGCAGTCCAGCAGGTAAGACTCCACGCTCCCAGTGCAGGGGGCCCGGGTTCGATCCCTGGTCAGGGAACTAGATACCACATGCATGCCACTACTAAGAAGCCCACATGCCACTACTAAGAAGCCCGCATGCCGCAACTAAGAAGTCTGCACGCCACAACTAAAGATCCCTCATGCCTCAAAGAAGATCCTGCATGCTGCAACTAAGGCCTGGCGCAGCCAAAATAAATTAATTAGTTAAAAAAAAAGAAGATAAAATGCTGTGCAGTGAAGAATAAGATACACTAAAAATCTATATTGATAAAAAAATCAGTCATCTTTTTTGGTTAGGCTAGAATCCACTTTAATTCCAAGAAATCTGAACCTGTAGATAGATGCTTACCACACCTAAGGAACTGGGGTAGGGGGTGGTGGTGCTGGGGAGGAAGGTGGGAATAAGGGGAGTAGGGAAATCAGCTTCCAAGGACTTGAGAAGCCAATGCCCAAAAGTGCACAATATTAAGTGGCAAGATTTGCAGTGGTTTGTCATCTGTCCTGTACCATGGACCCCTTTGGGACTTCGGTGAATTCGTTTTCTCAATTACTGTTAGTTTTGTCAGGTGTGATAACATTACAGTGGTTGTTTTATTTAAAGTAAGTTCTGAGGTATATACGAGACAGAATGACAAGAGGTCCATAATTTTAAACAGTCTAGGGGAAAAAAGGGGGGTGGGGGTGGGGAAGGAATAAATGAAACAAGACTGCCCAAATCTTAACTGTTGAAGCTGGGCAGTGGCTACTTTGGAGTTCTACTTTCGTGAATGATTGAAAGCTCCATAATGAAAAATAAACACATACCATCTCTGGTCTAAATTTTACATCTCTATTCTAACTCTCAGCATTAATAAACTGGGCTTTCTTTTTAAGAAAAGCTACTTTAATCATATCTTTCATCAAACATCAACTTAATGTAGAACAAAAAGTATCCCTAAGATAGTAAATTGCCATCAAACCTGGCATGAAGTACCTAGGGAAGGCACAGAGGCAAACTTTCAAAATTGTACATACATCTAAAGTAACTGAAAATGACTAAAAGCACTACCTTGAATGTGAAGCTTCATGACAGATGGCACAGGTCCAGAAAAAACAAACTAAAAAACCCCACACAGAATCTTTTCAACTAAGTTGTGTGAAGGATAGTTAACACTTCTTCATCACACACTCAATCCGTGCAATCTGGCTTCTGGCCCCAAACCTCCACTGAAAGTACTCTTACTATTACCACTCATCTCAATTCAAAATTCAACTAACACCTTCTGGTCCCCTTTGATTAAGTTTTGAGATTTGTGTTGTTGATCATTCCCTGCCAGTCTTCCAGTGATGCTACTCAATCTGTTTCAGAATTCTCCTTCCCTAGGTGCTCCTTAAAAACAATCCTCTGTACTAGGTTCCAAGTGCATTTTATTTTTTAATTTTTAAGACAATCCTGCAAGCAGGCATTTAAATTCCCTGTTTCACAGAAGAAGAAACAGACTCAGAAAGGCTAAGTTTAGAATTATCTTCACCGGAAGTTCCACGGGCACCTAAAATGATCCCACGAATTGTCGATTATCTCTTGCTGTTGTCCTATTCCCCCACCTACCGTTACCAGTACCCTTTTCTCCCCGCTTCAAATAGCCACTGTCAGTCTTAACCTTCATTATGTCAATCTTTCAGCGGCTGAAAGCCATGACTCAAGGTCTAAACTTCATAACTTAGAATGAGAGCAATTGTGAAGAGCCCCAGGCTACCACTTTGGCTTTATTTCTTGCCATTATTTCATGGGCAACCATTATGTCAATCTATCATCAGGTTCCCAAATGCACTGTTCCCTCAGCTTCAATGCCTTTGCCTGGAATGCCCTTCCTTCCCCTGGGCAAATGCTTATTCATCGTTTAACCTCAGTTCAGCACCTTCTCTACACATCTTGCCCTGACCCATTCCTCCCCTAACCTTGGCAGAAAGAGACAGTGATTCAGTTATATATACATATATATATATATTCTTTTTCATTATGGTTTATTACAGGATATTGAATATAGTTCCCTGTGCTATACAGTAGGACCTGTTGTTTATCTCTTTTATATATAGTAGTTTGCATCTGCTAATCCTAAACTCCTAATTTATTCCTCCACCCATTTCACCTTTGGTAACCATAAGTTTGTGTTCTGTGGCTGTGAGTGTTTCTGTTTTGTAAATAAGTTCACTCGTATCATATTTTAGATTCCACATAAAAGTGATATATGACATTTGTCTTTCTTACTTCACTTAGCATGATAATCTCTAGGTCTCTCCATGTTGCAGCAAATGGCATTGTTTCATTCTTTTTATGGCTGAATAGTATTCCATTGTGTGTGTGTGTGTGTGTGTGTGTGTGTGCATGTGTACACACCACATCTTCTTTATCCATTCAGATAGTGTCTTCTCCTCTATATATTCATAATTATCAAGATAAGTTTGCAGTTGCTTTCCTATTTTCTGGTACCTAGTTAACAAGTTGGGGGCAAGAAGATTCCTATTCATTCCTGAATTACCTATTACCTCACAGTCCCAGCCCTTAACACACGCTAAGAGCTAATATTTCCTGAGTACTCACAAACTGTACTTCATGAAGTACTTCCCTTCTCCTTGTAAAAATGTCATGAGTGGGAGCCTCACTGGCTGACTGAAAAGAGGAACTTAACACCTGGCACTTAACTTGGTTGGCTGTGACAGGGCAAGTGTCAGAAACTTGATTTTTTTCAACATGTGAAAGGCAGCTCTGCTCCAATGGTACAGATTCCCACTTGTCAAGTTCAAACTCTTGCCATTGGGTCAGAAAAATCTCTCCTTATATCACACAGAACTCTTTATCTATGGACTACGAAGACTTAAGTGCCTCCAAGCCAATTCTCAAACATTTCTCTTTTTGGTATTTGCCAACCAAATTTTGAACTATCTTCAGCGACATTTTGTCTCTTAGAAGTGACTCAATATTTCTGGGGTGGAGTTTTCACTAATATACAAAATGTACACTGCCTTCCTTCTCATTTGAACTTTTTTCAGCTGGAACTATTGTTAAGAGGAAAGAAAGTCTTATTCATACTAAACATATTCTTGCCCTGGATTTGACAGAAGAACTCACTAACTTTACCAGAGTAAATGTCCTTTCAAATACTTCAAAATAGCTTTATTTTTTTAAAAAAATTTTAAAGTAAAAATTCCCTAATAACCTTGAATAATCTCATCCTAACTAATAGCAATACTGAATTTTAAACATTTTATATAGGTGACTTCGCCTCTATAGGCTACCAGTTTGGTTTATACACTGGGAAACTTCGGGAAGGCATGACACTTAATTGGTATTCAATGACCATCTCCTGAGCTTATCAATTTACAGAAATACTAGCTTGCCACTTAAACACCACTCTCAACATATATGAAGAAAATAGTGTTGGTCTTTCAAAAATATTGTGGGATAGCATAAAAAATTAATCTGGGCCCAAATAGGTTACAGAACACATGGGAGGAACTACTGCCTCTTGGACCATGGATCTACCACTATTAGGCAGGTAATACTAAAGGCAGATAACTCTTACAAAAATTGCATTCCAATACCGAAATGCACATCCAAGTTTCCCTTAGAATTAGCTGAAGTGACTATGCTATCTCATTTAATGTTTTATAACTTATTTCTGATAACTATGAATAATTTTTTCTGGTAACTTTAAGTGAATCTCTTATGGGCTAATCCTTATAGGAGCTGCAGGAGTCTACTGGCAATACCAATCAGTTTGGTTTTCAGAACAGCTTTCAGTCACTCAGCCAATTCTAAAGTTGCCAGAAGAGTACAACAGGACCCTGAGAAGCATGTGATAGGTGACTGTTTCAAAAGCTGTACTGAATGTACTGACAAAGGGATTTGAAAATATATATACTATTTGGCTCAGCATCAAATGAAAGAATAGAAGGCTACATTAATGCCAAGATAATGGACTGTAATGACTATGTTTTGAATTTTTAATAGTTTTGGGGGTGGGAGGAAAAGAAAGAAATTACCTCTGGTCAAATACTTCAGATTTTGCACATTCTTATGATTAATGCCAAATTACCACAACCTGAAACTTTTCGGTATCTACAAGAAGAAATTCATCAACATAATACAGTTTTAGAACCTACAGATTTAAAATATTTCTCTGGAAGGGACTAATTAAAACTTGTTTTTATAGGGCAGACTATCAGAGCAGAGAGACCTTGACAAATACAGAGCCCTGGAGAACTGCAGAGGGTTGTCCTCAGGCTTCAGCTAAGTACTGATAAGCACGTTCGAGTGAAGAAACAATCTGAAGTCCAGGAAACTACCTGAGAACTTTCCAGAAGCTCAAAAAAAGACAATTCCCAGAACCCACACATGGAATTGGAATAGTTCACATTCCTAATAATCTCAAAATACATGGGCTAGCAGATAGAATTATCAGTATCAGGAGGATACTACCTTAATAGTAGGGCTTGACTACTTTAGTGGGAATAATCCTAGACTAAAAGCTGCTCTAGGACTTCCCTGGTGGCGCAGTGGTTGGAAGCCTGCCTGCCAATGCAGGGGACACAGGTTCGTGCCCCAGTCCGGGAAGATCCCACATGCCGCGGAGCGGCTGGGCCCATGTGCCATGGCCACTGGGCCTGCGCGTCCGGAGCCTGTGCTCCACAGCGGGAGAGGCCGCGGCAGTGAGAGGTCCACGTACCGCAAAAAAAAAAAAAAGAAGTGTCGGATTTGTGAAATATAACAACTGCCTTTCAAACTGACTAAGAAAAATAATAAAGGTAAAGAAGGAAATACCCATCGTCTGGAAGTTTATATGAAAAACTTTTTTTCAAGTCTTTTGTCAAGGACAATTATATGAAAAGTCACTATATTTCACTTCATAATGCATTACGGGTTCTTGTTTTAAAATCTGGCTCTAATAGCATTTTTATCTACTTGATTATGTGTTCTGTATTTTCAAACTTTATAGGCACAGACCTTGGTTTTTTTTTTTCTTAACTTCAGGAAAACAGCAATTATTTAAATGTATGTAGGTGTATAAGAGGAGTGGAATTGCACTGGCTAAATAAAGAATGGCAACAAGAATCCCTCCTACTTGTTCTCTCTCTTCTTGCCTGCAATGGAGGTTCCGGAGATGTCAACAGAAAACCTAGTGCTTCCATCAACAAACAGTCTAAAAATTACTGGGATCAATATCAGAAGTCATTAACATTACAAACAAAGAAAGAATGACAATATTAACATTACAAACAAAGAAAGAATGACAATATTAGAAACTTACCCTTTTGCAACCACCTCTGCTAACACCTGATTCAACAAGGACTACCAATGGCTACTATCACCACTGAGTGAAAGGTGCTAGGAAACAGGGTAGACACACTATCTCAAAGTATCACCCCACAGACGCCTTACTAATTACAAAGGAGATGAGGTTCCTTTGCAAGGAAGAGAAGTGGGGGCCACCAATGTAAGCAAATGATCAAAATTAGCTGATGGCACCAAAGTTAGACACCTGACATTATATTCCTTAAGAACTGCCAATCACCTATGAAATATACTTGCTAAAAATGTTCAATCTGAGTCTGATCGTGAGGGAAAAATTAGGTAAACACAAAATATGAGAGGGACATTCTATAGAGAAAGAAGCCTCGACTCTTTCCCCACCACCACCAAAAAAGTAGGGAATTGTTTTTAAGAGAATAAAGAGATAGCAATCAAATACCATGCATGAACTTAACTGAATCCTCAAAAAGTAAAACAGCTGTAAAAGAATTTCAGAACAGCTGGGACAATCTTAACACAATGTATATTAGCTGATATTATAGTATTGTTAATTTTTAGGAGTGATACTGGTATTGTGATTACATAGATGATGACCTTATTTTTAAGAGAGATATATTGAAGGATCCAGTATCATGATGTCTACAACTTCAAGGAGTTCAGCAAAAAAGGAGAAAAAGTGTATATATGTATATGTATATGTCCATATGTATATATTATAGAAAAAGTGTATGAGAGAGAAAGCAAGTTAATATGGCAAAATATCAACAATTGGTGATCTACATAAAGGGTATGTGAGTATTTCCTTTACCACTCAACTTGTCTTTATGTTTGAATATTTTCAAAACAACAAAATTGGGAAAAAAGGTCATTAACATTCCCTGAGCACACCGAGGAGGAGAGTAGTATTACACTGAATAAAATTCCTCTTGTAATTAAATGCTCAAAGTATAAATCAAATATACATGCAAATTTGTCTATAACTCCAACCTGCCATATTCAAAGAGTGCTTTCTTTTTTTGAAACAAGACCTCTACTAAATCAGTATGAATTTCTTGGAATAGATGATAAAAAAAGGCAGCCTAAACTCACAACTACTTAGTAGGAAGAATAAAATAGATAAGGTTATTTCAGGTAACTAGTATACTGGAAGATAAGAGTATCTGTTTCTTTCCTCACACAGTAGGTCAAAAAGGAGAAATCAGTCTATATTCAGGCAAAGATTATATAAGGTGATCATCTTACCTCCTAAAGCCTAGAATTAGGCTGCCTCTCAATGAAGCAAATGAGAGAGGCAATGTATTTGATTCCACTGCAAAAGAAAATAATCATCATAAAACCCCAGACCAAAACCAAAATCTTAAATTATCAATTTATTTGAAAGCACATTTATACCAACACCTTTCAATTTTCATCTGGGAAATATTATTTTTAAAATGTTAAAGTTTGCATACAAAGTTAATTAGAAATTGCAGAAATATATACTGGCAATATAAGCTATCCTTTTAAAACACTTTACTTCATTTACATAAATCTATACAACTAATGAATTTATAAATATTCTTTTCTATAAATGGCAATTAACTAATCTACCAGCATACTCCAAGTCAGTCTGGTACACATACCAAGGCTGTATGTTACTGGACAACATGGCACTATGAAGGGAGAGACTGTAACTACCCTTTAAAGACAGAAGATGAGGGGGAAAGTTCTTTTCTGAGAGTGTTGTTGGATTCTGTTGAACCACTCACACTTCCTCATTCTATTTTCCACATGATCTATGACCTGCATTCATGCAAGAGTGACAACCTAAAGTGATAATAACCTCTTTACCTCTGTTATGTAACTGATTTATACTGATCTTTCACTTTTCTGATGATTTGTTTGCTCTACTATTCATTTTGGTATTTATACAGCCTTGTATGTTTCAATGCTGACATTCTAAGCCTGATTTGCCTTAGTATAAGAATCAGGCCTTAATGCATAAGACCTGGTTCTCCACATAACCCTTGCCATAATTATCTTGGGACAGAATCACAGTAGGCATATCCTGAATTTATTTTTTCCTGTCATTATATTAAAATGGTGCCATGTTATAAGTAATTGTTTTAATCTTTTCAGTATATATGCAAAGCAGCTGCTGAATGATTCAAGAGGGATGGAATTAGATAGGAACTCGTAGTGGAGGCAAATTCTGAAGACAGAATTAATAAATACAGTTTAGGTAAAGATTAAGATAGCTGGTTAACTTAAAAAAAAAACTCATGGGAAAAATCACAGTAGGTTTTAATATTTGCTCATCTCCCTAAATATGAATAAAAATTTAACCCGCACACACAAGGAGAAATACTTTAGACTGACTGTTAGATCCCTTGAACAGGAAGCATAAGTTTCTCAGTGGTTTCATGTGGCATTTAAAACTCTAAAAATCGTCTCTGAAATGAGCTGTATTTAGTCACTCAGGAATTTTAAAGTGGATATACCACATGCTTTTCGGTAACCTTTAATTTTGCTTGATCAAATTAATTTCCATGCCTATAAAATCAAGTGGGAAAATGTTTCTTACTACTCCACAAACTTGATCAAAATAAGCCATTTAATAAGTCAGGGGGATGGAATGTACAGCATGGTGACTACAGTTAATAATACTATATTTCATATGTGAAAGTTGTTGAGAGAGTAGATCTTTGAAATCCTCATCACAAGAAAAAAAAATTTTTGTAACCACGTATGTGGACGAATGTTAACCAGACTTACTATCGTGACCACTTTGCAATATACACAAATATTGAATCATTATGTTGTACACCTGAAACTAATATATTATATATCAACTATACCTCAATTTAAAAAAAAAAAAGACAAGCCATTTACTTTTCTCTACTACCTGCCATTCCTTGTAGTAACCAAAAGTGCCTATCTATAAGCAGCCTACAGGGAATACCAGCAATTATAGAACTAACTGCTCTTCAAAGATCTGTAATTCAAAGGGTGAGGAAGCTGAAATCTTCTTTAGTCTTTAAGTTCATGGTATTTTTCTTTTTCACATTTAATAAACAACCTCTTGGAAACTTATTTCTAAACTATTCAAATTAGCATTTTACAGAATATTATCAAGTTTTTATTCATTAAAAAGGTGACCGAAAAAAAAAAAAAAAAAAAAAGGTGACCAGAAACATCTCAGCAAGCTGGAAGGCTGCTGACAAAAAGCATCTAGTTTCCTTAGCAACAAACAAGTGTGAAAAATTTCAAGAGATTGACAATGAAGTGGAATGGATGGTATGATAAAGGGAAAAGGCAGCTCTCATGTATCCACCTTATGCACCTAGATTCCTCAGCTAATGCTTCTGTTTTCATCTTGTCAGTATGGAAAATCTATATATTATACAGAGTAGAAGGCAAAATCAATACTCTCGGATAGCAGCCAGCATTAATACTCAACTTTACACTCAAATAACTACACCTCTAACAGTCAACGCTTTCATACTGAACACTTCGCCTTCCCCTTTATAATAATACAATAAACTATTTTAAATACCTCAAACACAGATAATATATACCAGTAATCTGGTTTTAACAAAGCTTCCACTTACACAATTTGAATATACATTAATAAAATCTTAACTTTTAACATTTCAGTGTGCTAGAAATTGATGTTTGTATATTTATTTTTAAATGATATCTCTTTCACAAGATATGAAACACTGTCAAGATAATGCCATAGATATGTCAAAAATTAAAATTAAAAAAGGTCTAATTTATTAAATTAAAACATAGTATAGTGGAAAAATAAGTTCATAAGATTAGATGATCTTGGTTCTGACTCAATCACTAACTTTGGGCAAATCATTTAACATCTCTCTGCCTTTCTTCATCTATCAATGGAGGAAGTTTATTAACATGGGATGAACGTTGTAAAGCACCCTATCATTTATAAGTGTTTGGAAACATTTACTGTGTTTTTAATAATGAGGACTGGGAGATGGCTTCGTGTAACTTAGGGCCATAATAAGCATTAGTTTAGAAAACACTTTCAAAAGCAAGATCTCATATGGTTCTCACAACTCCCACAAGGTAGACAGATAGGCAATACTATCCCATTTCATAAAACTGAAAGAACAATACAGGTATTTGTTTCAGGTCCTATAATCAGCAGGTAAATTATAAATATGGACCCAAGTCCTCTGGGTCCCCAGTCCAACCTAACACCATGTTATCTCCAAGGTCCTATTAACTTTAAAGTTACTTCCAAATTATCTACAAGTTAAACTCATAAACTATCTTATAAGACTAACTTAAATAAAACATATAAAAACTTCCTTGCTTTTGAGGAAAATACTTTCAACTACCTGAGGCAGGCAGTGAGGGCATGAACCACCCTGTATGCCCTCAAAAGTAACTGAAATTAACACCTGTCAAGCTTTCTTCTAATGCTGCATACTTACAAAATGATAAAATATAGTCTAAGTTTCCATTTACTGCTTCAATTCTCAATTCAGCTTGAGAAAATATACTATCTTCACGTAGACATCCATTTTCCTAGGGATAAAGCATATTTCAATGATAATACACCTCAGCTAAAAATATTTTGATATGTCATTCAAACTTCCTGTTTTCCCATTTCTTTATATGACCGTATTCTGATAATCCTTCATTTAAAAAAGACCGTTTTCTAAAATAATGCAAATAAACTGAATAACCAAACTTCAGCAAAAGCTATGAGATACAGTCCCAACATCCCAAATTAAATGCTTATCTTCAAATTCATATAATCTGTTACCCTTAGAGTGTCTTCCTTCTAGGAAGAGTTTACTATTGAAGACATTAGAACAATTCTCTAATTAACAACAAAATGAAAATTGAATGCACTGATCTAAAATGGTATTTTAAGACATATAATGAGGTAAAGATCAAATTTATTTTTATTTAACTTCAAATGGCTAATGACTTATCTCAACATCGTATTTAATAATTTAAGTATATGGGCTGAAATTTAGCCAAACATGTTTACTGAACCACTTTATAATAATAGCACAATATTGAAAATTAATCAATAATAAGAAATGAATAAAGATAAATTACAGTATATCCACACAATAAAACATCATACAAACATAAACAATTATTTGTGGAATTACACACTATAATGTAAAGGTGCCGTGAAAAAAGTAGGTTTTGGGGAAAAAGAACGTGGGAAAATTACTTTTTTAACAGTAAAATATGTATAGCACAGTGTCAAAATACACTGTTAAATACTCAGGGAAGAAAGGTAAAGACACTCAAGACATAAACTCTCCCTTGAAGAGGACTGGAATTATGAAATCATTTCAACGAAAGAAAAGAACACTCTAACACAATATTAGAAAAATAAAGGCATTATGTGAATAACCACCTAGGAAACAGGTCTTCTGAACAAAATATTTCTTACTAAAATGTGTGATACTCCGCCATGTTGTTCCTAATTGCATAGCACTTTATTCTGAAAATGGAAAGTGTAACCATTGCTGCCCCAGTGCACTGGGTCAATTTTTCATATGCCCCTTTATAAATGCCTTACTTATTCTGGTGGGCACAGGAATTATCTGGCAGGAAAACAATGCTCTGGGGTCAAACAAAAGATTACTTACAAAAAAAAAAAAAAAAACAGAACAGTAAATATACTAAGAGTTTATTATGAAAATTCATATAGAAGTGAAAAGTAATATTCAAAAATGAAAGGTGCAGTTGCACTGTAGAGTGGGATTAAAGAGTGAAACTTTCATTTAAATTTTGTCTGATATTGACATACTGTCTTTTCAACACACAAGAAAAATACTACTTCACCTTTATAAGACTTTTAAGTTTAGTAGCTACAGATCCTAGACTTCCCTGGTGGTCCCGTGGGTAAGATTCCATACTCCCAATGCAGGGGGCCCAGGTTCAATCCCTGGTAGGGGAACTAGATCCCGTACGCATGCTGCAACTAAGAGTTCACATGCCACAACTAAGAAGCCTGAATGTCACAACTAAAGATCCCACATGCCACAACTAAGACCTGGTGCAGCCAAAATAAATAAATAAATATTTAAAAAACAAAAAACTACAGCTGTTACACTAACCAATATTTTTACAAAGCTTCAGAAAATTATATACCAACATAACCATTTTAGTCTCAGCTCAGTGACTTTTTTTTTCTTTGATTACCACAAAACATTAGGGAGGAAAAATGTTCTTCAATTATGAAATTAAAACCACACTTGCACTCACCTGCAAAATAGCACGAACTGACTTTACACTATCAAAGCATGGAAACACGTAATTTATGTATGTCTCCTGATCAGGAGTTACTCCTATTTCATGCATTTCTTTGAGGACTTCAACTATACCTGTAAAATCAAATTTAGAAGCACAAAGATGAGGAACTTGGAATAAATTAACAAAAAATCAAAAAGTTCAGTTCATTTACTTTCTGAATTATAATGTAGGAAAAGTACTCAGCATTTTGTTTATCTGAAAGAGAAAGAACAACAGAACTGGATAATAAGATGATAAATGAAAAAATTTTATTGCTCCTTCCTTCATCTCTCCCTATTAATTCAGGAGAAAGTGCTAAGGAAATACCCTAGAAATTAAAAGAAAAATGAAAACAAGCAAGATGCTTAGTAATTTCCAGTATCCCAATTGAACAGAGATCATGAAACAGCACTGCTATCACAGAGCAATATGGATCTACAAAATAAAACTTGACATGACGAAATACTGCAGAGAGAAGGGATTAGAAGAATGGGGTGAGAGGAAATCTTTCCAAGACAAAAGTGTTGTTTTTTTTTTTTGCAGTACGCGGGCCTCTCACTGTTGTGGCCTCTCCCGTTGCAGAGCACAGGCTCCGGACGCGCAGGCTCAGCGGCCATGGCTCACGGGCCCAGCCGCTCCACGGCATGTGGGATCCTGCCAGACCGGAACACGAACCCGTGTCCCCTGCACCAGCAGGCTGACTCTCAACCACTGTGCCACCAGGGAAGCCCTGTGCTCTTCTTCATATGCAAAGATTACTAAGCACCTGACAGGAGGACATAGCTGCTTTTCTTTTCTTTTTAGCTGCTTTTCAATTACTTGTAATAGTCTTGTGCTAATCTAATGTCCTCAATGTCCCTTCTGGCCAGTATTGACTGCTTTGTCTGATAAGACACTACAGAGAAGTGACAAAACAAAAACAGGTTTTGCAATTTAAAGAGACCTACCTTTCAACCCGGGTTCTTCCACTTAATGGCAGTGTAAATCTGAGCAAGTAACTCCACTTTTCTGAGCCATTTTCTTAGCTTACATACTAGAAATGGCAATATGCCAGAACCGTGCCTTCTAGACACTTTAACATGTACCTTTTGGCTTGATCCTTCTACCCACCATCCATGGATTAAGCAAGGCAATACGAGTCAAGGCACTCAATAAATAGAACAATTTTCTGACCTATAAGAGTTCATGCTTATTGAATGGATAGAAGCAAAGTAACAAAAATTGTAAATATTACCCACAGGTATGGAAGAAATTCTGTGGTCTAGGCCTACAGGAAGATGGAGGACAATAGAAAAAACAGAACATACTGAACAAAAAGAACCGCAGTATTACAACTCAGTTTAGATCAATATATCAGGTTCATACTAACAAGGCTTTCATTTCAGCCTACTGGGTAGGCAGGGAGAAGGGGGGTGTATACTTCTCTATTTAAATAAAGCTGGAAATGCCTTTAGAAGTCCAATAATCTGTATTTTAACAAAAGTGTTAAAGTAAGCGATTTCTTCAAGATCAGAGACGTGTCTTGAAAAAGAAACCTTGTCTCCTAATTGCTGGCAGGTGCTTGTAACACTACAAAACTGCAAAAACCTACACTTTTCCCTCCAATCAGAAGGATGTGGGATCAAGTCATTTTGCATACAGGAATGATAATACAGCTGCCTATTTACTTCTCAGGATGGTCATTAAAACTAAAAAAAAAAAAAAAAATGTGTGAAACCCTAAAAATACTAAACAAATGTTAATAGTAACAGTGGGGCTTCCCTGGTGGCGCAATGGTTGAGAGTCCGCCTGCCGATGCAGGGGACATGGGTTCGTGCCCCGATCCGGGAAGATCCCACATGCCGCGGAGCGGCTGGGCCCGTGAGCCATGGCCGCTGAGCCTGCGCGTCTGGAGCCTGCGCCCCAAAGAGAGAGAGAACAAAAAAGAGAGGGCCCCCCGAAAAAAAAAAAAAAAAAAAAAAAAAACATTAACAGTGATTTAATTTTTTTAGCTGTCTTGAAATACTCTAATAATTTCTAAAATTTAGCATAAGGTAACTCTTAATGTTTGAAAACAGGCCAACAAATTGATTGCAGATAGAAGATTCCTATTCCTATACAAACACTTCCCCTCATCATCTATGCCTCAAATATATTTTATTCTCTTAGTTCATTTTTCCAATAATGTTTTTCAGGGAGAGGAGTGCATTCTGCTCATTTAGATGACCTGGGTTGGTAGCATTTGTAACTCATGTATCTTTCCAACTGAAACTAAAGCAGGTTTAAGAAAACCTGGGTTCACACCATTGCTCAGCCAAGTTCAATCACTCCCTCAAGCACTCTGAGGAAGCATACAAGGATATTCCCTTCAGTAACTATAGTTGGACAGGAAGAGGGAAACACTTCTCAATAAGGAGAAAGAAAGGTGATTGATCTGACATACCTACAAATATCCTCCTCAAAAATACAATTCATATTTCTTTTTAAAATAAAAGATTAAAATAATCATATATTAACTTAGATAAACGAGGATCCCAACCTCTGTGAACTTAGAAAATCTAAACAATCTAGTAAAAATATTTCAAATGTAGGCACAAGAAAGTTTATGAATCTAAAGGAAAGTCTCCATTCAAAAAGTTTTATAAGAATTAAAGTAGTTCAAACTATTGGGAAAGATATATGGTTTTCCTGAACAAATTCCACCAACTAGGACTCTTTACTCCACATAATTTTAGACTCTGCCCAGAGCGCTCACTTTACGAGGAGGCAATTTCTTACTTTTTAAAAAGTATCATCTACTCAACCATTCACTCAACTGGCATTTAGGTTTTCATACCAGCCCTTCCTTTTATATTTTACCTGTTTTATATTCTTATTTTCATGTTTCCTAAATATACCAAGGGATGTAGATAATCCCTCAATCACTCTGCATTATTTCCTCTCACTTGGGCCAATTTGCTAAAATTCTAAGAGAGGACTTTTCCATTTGCACAACAGAGAAAAATACTAGCAAGATAAGCCATGAGGAAGTCATTATAAGAATCTTTTTTAAGGGTTGGCCAAATTTGCAGCCAGGAAAATTCTAGAATTCAATGAAAGTTTGATCATCCTATTGTTGAACACTTGGTTCAGTCTGATCTGACCTCTACATACCTTTCTTTGATTTCCTGAAGGGTTTTATTTATTCCTTATGAAACACTCCTCTACATCCTCCATCTCTGTAGCCATTATTTTCTTCTGTTAATTATTTATTTCTACCAGTTTATAATGACTTTCCCCAGACAAAGAACAAATTCACTGCACTAAAAAGAATCTTACTTTCTTATCTTACACTGAAGAAACTATATAGAATATATACAGCCATTTCCCTGTTACATGAAGAAAAGACTGTAGAATACATACTTTACTCTATTTCAGGACTTCCTACAAAGGAGAAAGTACTTTTTAAAAACTGTAAAACAGCTGACAATCTCTTGTACTCTCAAGTTAACTTTCCAGCTTTCCTATTTTTCCAGTTAAAACCTTCACTGATTAAAAAACTTGGTACCACTTTTAAAATATGTCCTTAATGCCAAAATCGATACCTAATTTTTAACCAATAGCTAAGAATTTTTATAAAACAAGTACGGCATATTTACAAGTGTCTAATATGGAGGTGTTACGGTATTAAAAATAAGTATTTACAACAGGAGGACAGAAATCCTAGTTCTAATCCCAGCACTTCTGACAACTAGATGTGGAACCTAAGATCAGCCACTGAATCTCTCTGGGCTCTCAGTTCCTTCATTAATATAATGTGAGCTTTCAACAAGGCACCTTTGATTCTACGATTCTAAGAAAAAAATGGCTTCAAGATAAAGTCCACTTTTCTACTAGTTTGAGCTACAACTATGGAAAGAATTACCTGAATTCTTTCATGTTTACTAAGTAGTAAAAATGTAGTAACCAATTCAAGTCTAGATACCATGATAGGCTGAGAAAAGGAAATTTACCTGATGAATAAACAAACATTTCAACAGGAGTACCAAAAGTATTTTCATATCTGTGTATTGTGGACAATACTAACATGGCCAAAGATTTTCATGGAATGATGTAAACTTTCTGTGGTTCAAAAATACTAGGATTAAAGGTTAACTCTTAGAGTTTTCAGAACTGGAGGATATGCAAAGAGTTAATCAACTAGCATATTGTTTTCACAAAAATTTTTCTAAAAAGGATTTAGAGACTTTTACAGCCAGAAACAATTAGGGAATACTTGTTTCACTATTTCCTTTAAACCAGAAGACGGCTATATATTTAAATAAAATTGCAATATGAAAGTCTGCTAAAAGCACTTTTTTTTGTTGTTTGTGCATTTTGTTTGTCACCCAATGTCATACTAACAACTCTGCATCTCATTCTAAAGCACATTATACGGCGCAATAAAATGAAAAAGACCATTTTTTGTTTCCCCAAGGGGGAAGTACTTCTGTTAAAAGCATCTTTTTATGAGACTACTCTTTCTGAATTACCAATAATGCAAACCAAAGAATTAGATACTGTACTCTAAAATTTAGTATTTGTTCAATTCTTATTCATATCCTATAGATATCCCATGTGTACAGGTAAAAGTATGCTAAATGCTTAAACGTACTTAAGAACCTGAAAGATTGAACATTTCTGTCCTTCAATCAGTTGGCTGTCAGGTCATGAGCATTCATTTTGCAATAAAAGTTTTCCTGCCTTTCCTATTATTTTAACTCAGCTCAGTTAAGAAGAAATAGACTGGTCCACAAAGAAAATGGTCTAATTGTATATATTTTATCTTTAATAAGGCTAAACTAATTTCAAACACTGTAAGTATGTAAAATCAAGAACTAAAGAGTTTTTTGAAAAACTTAAAAACAGTGAACTATTTAAAACCACAATCACAAGTCTGAATATCAAGATCAGAGATGAATTAAGAAATGAAATTAAGCGCTTCCCTGGTGGCGCAGTGGTTGGGAGTCCGCCTGCCGACACAGGGGACACGGGTTCGTGCCCTGGTCCAGGAAGATCCCACAGGCCGCGGAGTGGCTGGGCCTGTGAGCTATGGCCACTGAGCCTGCGCATCCGGAGCCTGTGCTC